GAGAATTCCTTGCACTGCGAGAGTAGTTCAGCAAGCACATGTGCACTGGTGAGCATTGTGGTGGTGCTGTCAACCTTAATTACACGCAGTACATACATAGTATTATTATATACACGTACAGTGGTCTCTCGCTTTTCGTAGTTCTTGGCAATCGTAAATTTCGCCAATCATAGGGGTATTTTCGTATAAACATGGACTCGCTTTTCATAGGTTGACTAGCGAATAGTAGTTCGTCCAGGACGGGTACGCACGGTGTGAGCCGGGGAGGCCTCCCTACCCAGCCAATCTGGCATTGTTTACCAGTGAGTGAAGGTCCCCTCAAGTGCTCCTATGAAATATTTCATAATATTCCACTCATTTTAGTGCTTGCAAGTACTAAATAAGCTACCATGGCTCCAAAGAAAGCTCCTAGTGCCAAGCCTGTGGTAAAGAAGGTCAGAAATATGTACAGTGACAAAGTCTTGGGCCATTTTAGGGAAGTGTTAAAGAGATGCCAGAAACAGAGCTCTCTCCACAGTTACTCTGCGAGACAGGACTAGAGTGACTCTCAAGGTGGTCCTAGTGGCATTAAGAAACAGAGAAGAGAAGCAACCCCAGAGAAGCAATTGGTAGTTGAGGTGTTGCTGGAAGGGAATTCCCCTTCCAAACTGTAAACAATCCAATCTCTCTCCTCCTCCAGTCTCCCATACACTAAGAAGAATATCCAATAAAGGTAAGTGTTATGCTGTTAATGTTTCATTCATCATTTCCCATTGTATTGTTTATGTACTACATGCATATTTCATGTAAAAAATTTTTTTGTTTTAATACTTCTGAGTGTCAGAAACAGATTAATTGTTTTTACATTATTTCTTATGGGGAAAATTGATTCGCAAATCGTAAATTTCGTTTATAGTAGCTCCTCCAGAAACGGATTAATTACGAAAAACGAGGGACCACTGTATATTGTACCATTACAATTATACTGTAAATTATCAAATCAAATCAAGTTTATTCTATATAAAGATTACAATGTGGGGTTTACATATTTTAGGATATTGTGTGGTTTACATGTTATAAAATACTAATTACAGAGGGGGCCACTATCACGCCTACCATGGCTAGGCATTTCGGGCAGACTAAGATTAATTCAAAATTCTAAATTATTACAGATTATGGAGCAAGTTGGTATTAAGGCTAAATAACTACATTACAGGTTGTAAATTTAACTGTGAATGCTTTTGTTTTGGTACAATACATAGTTTCTATAGTGGAGTATCACATGCAAACTTATGACTAGTTAGGATTCATTATTTTAACCCGTAAACAGTCCAAACGTATATATATACGTTCACTACTGTACTGCCCCAACTTTTTGGAGAAAAAAAACATTGTTGTTTTTAATAGGAAAAAAGAGCATATGTTACCCAGGCATCCCCAATTATTTTAATATGGTGCACAGCGAGTGCTCACACCCATTCTCACATGTCTAGGCGACTCAGGCTTATCGTGGCAATGTTAAATGTAGGACACACAAAATGTATATATACGTTTGGGGCACTAGCGGTAAAAACGTATATATACGTTTGGACTGTTTACGGGTTAAGATTCGTATCTGTGTTTATAGTCAATTGGGTGAGTGTGTGAGTGTAAGTGTGAACCACCAGGTGGTTTTCATGTAGTTAGCTGACGGGGTGTATCAGGGAGATAAGATGTTTTCTAACGGTACTTTTGAAAGTGATGAATGTGTCTGCAGTTTTAGAGTTTTCAGGTAGGGTGTTCCAGAGTTTAGGCCCTTTGACGTACATTGAATTTTTGTAAAGGTTAAGTCGGGCATGGGGAATGTCATAGAGATGTTTGTGTCTGGTGTTATGCCTTTGGGTCCTGTCACAACTATCAAGAAAGCATTTTAGGTCAGGGTTAATGTTAGAATTTATGGTCCTGTAGATGTAGATTGCACAGTAGTAAGTGTGGATGTTCTGAACAGTAAGTTTCGATCTATGAAGAGTGGGGGGATGTGTTGCCTGGGATGTGATTGTGTGATTATTCTTACTGTGGCTTTTTGTTGGGTTATTATTGGCTTTAGGTGTGTTGCTGCAGTTGATCCCCAAGCACAAATAGCATAGGTGAGGTATGGATAAATGAGTGAATGCTATAGTGTGAGAAAGGCAGATTGCGGCACATAGTATCGTATCTTGGAGAGGATCCCAACCGTTTTGGATATTTGTTTTGTGTGTTGGATATGGGGATTATTATGGGTAGTATTATTATTATACATTATTATTATGTATTATCATTATTATTAGTACTTACATATTATTATAATTATTATTATTAATTTAGGGACCTGGAACACAGATCCAATTCCCTATATCAAGAGCCCCTCACCACTTACATATGTACCACTACTACTACTACTATAATAATAATAATTATTATTATTATTATAATACAGTATAATAGTAATAATAACAGTAAGGAGAAACTTCAAAAGGCTGCCAGTAGTTGGTGCCACCAGCAAAACATTGGTAACCACTACTAGTACACTTTTCACCTGTCTAGACTTAAGTAGTCTATTAGTCTTCTCTCACCCGAGCCCAGCCACGCTAGCCAATACTGTAAATACCGAATTACAAAAAATATCTACCTGGATGAGGACTAACAAACTTACACTAAACATCAACAAAATTACTTCATTCAGTTTGGTAACAGAGCTACAGATGTCCCTCTTAACATAATGATAAACGGATCACCTATCACAAAGCTAACAGAGGGAAAATTCTTAGGAATCCACCTTGATAATAGACTCAAATTTCATACACATATACAACAAATTTCTAAGAAAATTTCCAAGACTGTAGGCATACTATCGAAGATACGGTACTATGCTCCTCAGTCAGCCCTCCTGGCCCTATATCACTCTTATTTACCCCTATCTCACCTATGGAATTTGTGCATGGGGCTCAACAATAATTAACCATCTCAGACCACTAATTACCCAACAAAAGGCTGCAGTTAGAATGATAACAAATTCTCACTACAGGCAGCACACTCCACCAATATTCAAAACACTCAACCTACTCACCATACAAAACATCCATACTTATTTTTGCACCTATTACATACATAGAACACTTAACTCTGATATTAACCCTCCCCTCAAACATCTCCTTGCCAACCTCAACAGAACACATGACCATAACACAAGACACAGATCACTCTTTGATGTTCCTCGTGTCCATCTCATGCTATGCAAAAACTCAATGCACATAAAAGGCCCTAAAATCTGGAATTCATTACCTGTAAATATAAAAGAAACACTACCTGTTTATAAATTCAAGTCTCTTCTCAAAGAACACTTACTCACCCAAAACCAAAAAAAATCGAATAACTGAACCTTATAAATTGTATATCTTAAATGTTTCTCACAATTATATCACATATGTTAAACCTAAAACCCAATCTAACAGAATACTCCATTCGACTGAATGTACAGTAATGCATGCAACCATATGACCTGTCTTTGTAATACTCATTTGTGCTTTATAGTTATCTGTTTACAATAATGTCTTATCACTGATTTCATCATTGCTTAGTTAATCTTAGTTAATTTTAAGCCAGCCCGTAATGCTATGCATATAAGTGGCTTTGGCATGCTGCTCTTACCTGTATTTTTTTGTACCTCTGTATGTATGCTCAAATTACTAAATAAATTAAATAAATAAATAAATAAGTCTGCCCAAAATGCCTCAGCATGATAGTGGCTTTCTTTGCTCCAATCATATTATGTAAACACATACTGTAACCTTTGCAAAGAAATAAATCAACATGATTGACTTTATTAGATTACTATATATATGGCATAATTATTTTTATTCTACTTTTTTACTATTTTGGTCTTCTAATTGCTTGTACAATGAATATTAATAATATTACAGTTATTTTAGAGTATAATACTCATCAAAACAGAAATTATTCACACTGCCTTTTCTGTGTTATCCTGGGTATTTAGTGTGATTTATGACTGAATTCCACTGTTAGCATAATAAAACTGTAATAAATCTGGACTGAATAAGTCATCCTTGAGCCACTTGCACACCCTGTTTGCTGGTAGGGGAAACTGGTGGTGGAACAACAGCTCCTGGTTCCTTTGTTTATTTGGACACACAATCATCACCTAAGTAGTTAACAATGATACATTTTGTGGACCCTGCTGGCCTTTAAATTTTTTTTCAAATGAATGAAGAGATGGAAGAAGACCCAAAGAGTTTGCTGAGGTTAAAAATATTGGCAGGTGGCAGATTTATAGATACAAAAAATTGTGCATACTAATACATCAGACACACTAGCCATTTGCATACTAGTACATTGGACACAGTTAAAGGGTTAAATATACTGTAGGTTGGAAAGGAGTGGGTGTGGGTGGGTGCAAGTTAGACCTGTCTAGAATGGACCAGTAACTGCAGTGCTCCTTCATTCTTGTTTCTGTATCTTCTACAAGTTGCAGGGGGTATTGTCCATTTGGGCAAGTGTTTCATAAAAATCCCAAGACTAACAGTTATCTTGTGTTAAGTTGTAAGGCAAATACTGAAGATTACACCAAGTCTAGCTCTCTTCCTGAAACTACAACCAGGTGTCAGCAATCTCGCATAGATAATCACTAAGAGGTTCTAAAGGAGCTTACTCTAATGCTGCATAGCTCAGTTGTGTAAATGGTTATACGTCAGTTTATAGACCAACACATGCACAACGAACACAAGCCATTTCCAATGTCTTCATATTAAGGCATTATACCTCTTCAGTCACAGAACAATAATTATAATCATTGCTTCAGCCTTATACCATTTCTTGAGCTGCCATACTCTACAACATAGTGCATCACACCATGACTGCATATATGACTACAGTGGCATTCTTCAGTTATTCTGGGATGAATGATGAAAATGCTAATCCATAAGGTATCCCTATCTATGGATGCCTAAAAGGAAGACACTTTCAGTTTTTCATTCAATATGACCTACCATAAAGAGTGGCTCATCGTCATCTGAGCCATCGCTGCTGGCATCAGACGAGGATGATCTGATAATCGTGGGGCAACTGGTTGTGCTTCCGTTGACTTGGCTGCTCTCAGTGACAATGACCTCGTTCTCCACACTCGCCTTCAGTGTCATGAATAAGTCACCAAGGGTCATGACGTGGACATCCAGGGGGCACGTAAAAGGCAAAAATGCCAGAGGGGAGGGACAGGGTCATATATAAATACATAAACTTCAAAATAAAATACAGATAGCACAGTGCAATTATTGAATAATTAAAACAAAATGAATGCACTGAAATTAATCTCTTTAAAATACTTTGCTTACTATCATTATGGATGTCACAGTAGTACAGTACGATACAACAAAGACATATGATCAGCTAATAAGTAGACATGCAGCTCAGCACAGACAGACAAGGCTCCTTTTCCACGTGGGTGAACTCAAAATAATGGCATCATAGATAACTCATTAAACTTTTAGTAAATTAGGTCAGTAATGCAGCTCGTTTGCACAACGGAGGTAAACATAACTCTCTCCACCTCATTCCAGGGATCCTGAATCTAAATCAATAATCAGGCATCCTATATATGTCAGTAAACAAAACAATCATGATATAACAATATTTACTGTTCATGCTAGATGCTTAGAAGGCTCACAAAAAAGGAGCCGTCTGTACGCACCTGGAGTACATAGGTGGTGGATTATCATCTTTGATCATCTTTGACACTTTGAGACCTTTAACCTTAGGTGCTGTTACCTGCAGCAGGAATGCAAGAACTGTACCCATAATAAATCCAGCAATGTCTTCTTGGACAGTTGAGTAATTTCATTGCCTGAATACTGATGTTTAAGATAATGATTGCTCATCATGCACTTTCAGCTTAATCACTGGTGGCCTTATCCAACATCTTCCATCAGACAATAAATTATTCATAATCCTCAACTTTTCACATTACACAAAAATAAAAAAGCTTTCATTAATTTTGGCAAGCTGCCTCTTTTTAAGCACTTGAGCATATTCTTTTTTTGGTTGTGTTACTATATATTTATTTTAGATGAGTTATATATTCCTTAGAGAGAAGTGTATGTAAAAGAATCAGGCTAATTTTAATAGTAACAATAAATGTGGTTCAGCTACAGTCACAGATTAGTAATGCATCTGAGACTTTTATTTTATAGTAATTTGCATTAAAGAAACTTTTAAAAGAAAAAAATCACATTATACACAAGCATCTGCTGATCAAAGTATTTATAAATAATTCGTGAGGAAGTGCTAAATGCCTACAAGTTAACGATGATCTATAATTCTGCTGTTTATAGTCAATTTAAATATTTTGATCAACACTTTTTTTTGCCCTGAACAGTAATGATAGTTTTTTTTAGCTGGTGTCTTTTTCGTTAATCCGTATTTTATACATTTAGGTATACAGTACAGAATAATAATCTGTATATATTTAATTTGTGGAAGCAAGGGGCTAGTAACCCCTTCTCCTGTATTCATTACTAAATTTAAAAGGAGAAACTTTCATTTTTCCTTTTGGGCCACCGTGTCTCGGTGGGATACAGCCAGTGCATTGAAAGAAAGAAGATTTAATCAAATAATAACAGTACAGTTGAACCTCAGAATTCATGTGTTTCTTAATCTCTTACTGTAAACTGAAAATTAACAGGATTTCCTCTTGCACAGGGTGGGTGCAGGAATAAAAGAGGAGTGATTGGTGGAATGATGAAGTAAAAGGTGTGATAAAAGAGAAAAATGTAGCTTATAAGAGGTTTTTACAAAGCAGAAATGTTATTAGAAGAGCAGAGTATATGGAGAGTAAAAGAAGGTGAAGAGACTGGTGAGAGAGTGCAAAAGGAGAGCAGATGGCAGAATGGGAGAGGCACTATCAAGAAATTTTACTGAAAATAAGAAAAAAATTTGGAGTCAGTTAAACAAGTTAAGAAAGCCTAGGGAATGAATGGATTTGTCAGTTAAGAACAGAGTAGGGGAGTTAGGAGATGGAGGTATTGGGTAGATGGCGGGAATATTTTGAGGAACTTTTAACCCTTTCAGGGTTTCAGCCGTACTAGTACAGCTTACGCACCAGGGTTTTTGATGTACTAGTACGCCTAAATTCTAGCGCCCTCAAATCTAGTGAGAGAAAGCTGGTAGGCCTACATATGAAAGAATGGGTCTACATGGTCAGTGCGCGTGGTATAAAAAAAAATCCTGCAACACACAGTGCGTAATGAGAAAAAAAAACTTTGACCGTTTTTATGGATTAAAACAGCGACTTTGCACTGTATTTTCGTATGGTATTTATTGTTGTATTCTAGTTTTCCTGGTCTCATTTTATAGAATGGAAGACGTATTACAGAAATTGAGATGATTTTGATTGGTTTTACAAAGAAAACTACCTTGAAATTGCGCTCGAAGTAGCAGAAATGTTCGATTTTTACCAAAGTTCAAAAGTAAACAAATCATGCTATGCATCCAATACACGTCAACTGGTGAGTCTAATATTCTTTCACAAGTGCGCTGATAATATCAAAGTGGAAAGCAAAAGAATGTAAGAGGGGCATGGGGACATGACTAATGAACAGAGGAAATGTTATTTTAGTGCCAGGAATGTCTTTCTTGTTTATTCTGGACCCTATTCGGAAATTGGCATCTTTTGAAATTTGTGTGAAATTGGCAAAATTGCTAAATTCTGACCACTGTATTGGATAGTTGAAATCGGTAAATGGGTGGTTTCTTGTACTCATTCGATAGTAAAAATGGAGTTCTAGCGAAATAGTTATGATTTTTGTCGACAAGTACACTGGAATTGGCCGAAAATAGGGCTCAAAATGGGCAAAATCGGCAATGCGTAAACATCGTCAAGACCGCCAACTTCGTAAGAGCATAATTCCGTAAGTTTTCCATCAAATTTCATACTTTTGGTGTCATTATGATCGGGAAAAGATTCTCTATCGTTTCATAAGAAATTTTTTTTTTTTTTTTTTTTTTAAATTTGGCTGACCCTGAGAGCAAGTCTCCGAGAGGGCCTGACGACCTTGAAAGGGTTAAATGTCGATGAAGAAAGGGAGGCAGTAATTTCATGCATTGGCCAGGGAGGTATACCATCTTTTATGAGTGAAGAAGAACAGGATGTGAGTTTGGGGAAGGTGCGTGAAGCATTACGTAGAATGAAAGGGGGTAAAGCAGCTGGACCTGACGGGATCATGACAGAAATGTTAAAAGCAGGGGGAGGGGGGATATAGTGTTAGAGTGGTTGGTATTTTTGTTTAATAAATGTATGAAAGAGGGGAAGGTACCTAGGGATTGGCAGAGAACATTATTTATTTTTTTTTATTATCACACTGGCCGATTCCCACCAAGGCAGGGTGGCCCGAAAAAGAAAAACTTTCACCATCATTCACTCCATCACTGTCTTGCCAGAAGGGTGCTTTACACTACAGTTTTTAAACTGCAACATTAACACCCCTCCTTCAGAGTGCAGGCACTGTACTTCCCATCTCCAGGACTCAAGTCCGGCCTGCCGGTTTCCCTGAACCCCTTCATAAATGTTACTTTGCTCACACTCCAACAGCACGTCAAGTATTAAAAAACCATTTGTCTCCATTCACTCCTATCAAACACGCTCAAGCATGCCTGCTGGAAGTCCAAGCCCCTCGCACACAAAACCTCCTTTACCCCCTCCCTCCAATCTTTCCTAGGCCGACCCCTACCCCGCCTTCCTTCCACTACAGACTGATACACTCTTGAAGTCATTCTGTTTCGCTCCATTCTCTCTACATGTCCGAACCACCTCAACAACCCTTCCTCAGCCCTCTGGACAACAGTTTTGGTAATCCCGCACCTCCTCCTAACTTCCAAACTACGAATTCTCTGCATTATATTCACACCACACATTGCCCTCAGACATGACATCTCCACTGCCTCCAGCCTTCTCCTCGCTGCAACATTCATCACCCACGCTTCACACCCATATAAGAGCGTTGGTAAAACTATACTCTCATACATTCCCCTCTTTGCCTCCAAGGACAAAGTTCTTTGTCTCCACAGACTCCTAAGTGCACCACTCGCCCTTTTCCCCTCATCAATTCTATGATTCACCTCATCTTCATAGACCCATCCGCTGACACGTCCACTCCCAAATATCTGAATACATTCACCTCCTCCATACTCTTTCCCTCCAATCTGATATCCAATCTTTCATCACCTAATATTTTTATCCTCATAACCTTACTCTTTTCTGTATTCACTTTTAATTTTCTTCTTTTGCATACCCTACCAAATTCATCCACCAATCTCTGCAACTTCTCTTCAGAATCTCCCAAGAGCACAGTGCCATCAGCAAAGAGCAACTGTGACAACTCCCACTTTATGTGTGATTCTTTATCTTTTAACTCCACGCCTCTTGCCAAGACACTCGCATTTACTTCTCTTACAATCCCATCTATAAATATATTAAACAACCACGGTGACATCACACATCCTTGTCTAAGGCCTACTTTTACTGGTAAATAATTTCCCTCTTTCCTACATACTCTAATTTGAGCCTCACTATCCTCGTAAAAACTCTTCACTGCTTTCAGTAACCTACCTCCTATACCATACACCTGCAACATCTGCCACATTGCCCCCCTATCCACCCTGTCATATGCCTTTTCCAAATCCATAAATGCCACAAAGACCTCTTTAGCCTTACCTAAATACTGTTCACTTATATCTTTCACTGTAAACACCTGGTCCACACACCCCCTACCTTTCCTAAAGCCTCCTTGTTCATCTGCTATCCTATTCTCCGTCTTACTCTTAATTCTTTCAATAATAACTCTACCAGGTATACTCAACAGACTTATCCCCCTATAATTTTTGCACTCTCTTTTGTCCCCTTTGCCTTTATACAAAGGAACTATGCATGCTCTCTGCCAATCCCTAGGTACCTTACCCTCATCCATACATTTATTAAATAATTGCACCAAACACTCCAAAACTATATCCCCACCTGCTTTTAACATTTCTATCTTTATCCCATCAATCCCGGCTGCCTTACCCCCTTTCATTTTACCTACTGCCTCACGAACTTCCCCCACACTCACAACTGGCTTTTCCTCACTCCTACAAGATG